CCACTGCACTCCAGTCTGGGTGACAGAGTGAGACTCCAACTCAAAAAAAAAAAAAGTGTCAGGCTCCATAGAGGCTACAACAGGAAAAGATTTGTTTTCAGGAATTCCAGCTGTTTAACCTTTGCAGATTGAATTAATAACTACAAATTACTTCACTCTCTGTGATAAGTAATAGAGGCAAATAATCCAAAGGTGCCAGGTCATTCCATCTCTAGTCATATCTCATACAAGTTTTGCAAATAATTGATGCATAATCAGAGCTAACTGTAAAGTCAAAAAGGCCGGCCCCTCCAGAGCAGTGGAAACACTTAGCTGGGCAAGACACCACATTCTCAGCTCCTACAGGCCTCTGCCAGTCTAGATTATTTGTATCTTCTTTTCTTCTTTGAGTTGGGGTCTCACTCTGTTGCCCAGGCTGTTTACCTGCTGGGCTCAGGCAATCCATCCACCTCAGTCTTCCAAGTAGCTGGAATTACAGGTATGTGCCACCACGCCCAGCTAGTTTTTTTATTTATTGTAGAGTCAAGGTCTCACCATGATGTCCAGACTGGTCTCAAACCCCTGGGCTCAGGTAATCCTCTCACCTCTGACTCCCAAAGTGCTAGGATTACAAATGTGAGCCTCCATGCCCAGCTTATTTATATCTTTCTTTAAACAGACTACAGGACACTGGGGAGGAGGACAGGGCTGAGCTAGCTGTGAGTCGGTCTTCTCCACGTCAGCGATGCTCAGGTAGACACATCTGGGGATACAGTGACCTCAGCTGCATCACAGCTGATGAACGCCAGACATTTTCAATGTTTCTCATGAACAGAGTGCAGCATATGCAGCTCATGAATCTATACAACCACACTGTTTGCCTGGCCCACTCCCCAACTAGGTCTATCTCTGTTCTAGTCACAAACTGACCTGTGAAAGAGAGAAATAAGGAGATCTCCAAAAAACAATGTTGGAAAGAGTACAGACACCTAGGCTCTCTGACATGACCTCAAACATCCTGGGAGACCCTAGCCAAGTCCCTTCACCTCTCTAAGCTTCAGTCTACCTGCTATGAAATGAGGGTTAGCTGAGATGAGAGGATCACCTGAGGCAAGGAGCAGCCTGGGCAACATGGCAAGATCTATCTCTGCAAAAAATTTTTAAAAAATTAGTTGGCTGTGGTGGTGCACATCTGTAGTCCTAGCTACTCTGGAGGCTGAGGCAGGAGGGTCGTCTGAGCCCAGTAATTTGAGACTGCAGTGAGTTATGATCTCATCACTGACACTCTAGCCTGGGCAACAGTGAGACCCTGTCTCTTAAAAAAAAACCTGCCGGGCTTGGTGGCTCAGCCTGTAATCCTGTGCCTTTGGGAGGCTGAGGTGAGTGGATTGCCTGAGCCCACGGGTTCGAGACCCGCCTAGGCAGGCGATACCTCATCTCTACAATAAATCAAAAACTTAGCCGGGCGTGGTAGCGCGCACCTGTAGTTCCAGCTTCTTGGAAGGCTGAGGCGGAAGGATTGCCGGAGCCCAGCAGGTCGAGGCTGCGGTGGCCAGGAGCGGCCATTGCACTCCAGTCTGAGACTCCAACTCAAAAAAACCCCAAAAAACCCAAGAGGGAAGGCTAAACTACGTGACTCTCAAGGTGTCATTTGATTCTAGCTAGGCAAGCTTTTATTTTGGAATTTTATAATTCCGTAGGACTCCACTCTTTCATAATCACCACTGAGTGTGTGGTTCTGTGGTTGCCAGAGGGAAGAGAACCTGGCTTGGTGAGGAAGTCATGCAGTATTTTGCCAGAGACCCCGCTGCTCCTCAGAATTGGGACAATGCTGCTGGTAACGAAAATCCCAGACTTTGAAGAAGGTATCATGTGTTACAGGGCCCACAGGTTTTAAGAGATCCCAATCCACAGTTTAAAAAACAAGGGAGCTTTAAAGTAGCGTAAAAAGTGTGAGGATAATTTCTTTTATTTCTTATTTCTTTTTTTTTAATCAGTCTCAATCTGTCACCCAGGCTAGAGTGCAGTGGCACCATCATGGCCACACAGCCTCCTGTTGGGTTCAGATCATCCTTCCACTTTAGCCTTTAAAGTAGGTGGGACTACTTTAAGGCACATGGCACCATGCCCAGCTCGTTTTTTTGATTTATTGTAGTGATGAGGTCTTGCCGTGTTGCCGTGTTGATTTATTGTAGTGATGAGGTCTTGCTGTGTTGCCCAGGCTGGTCTCCAACTCCTGAGCTCAGGCAGTCCTCTCATTTTGGCCTCCCAAAGTGCTGGGATTATAAGTGTGAGCCACCGTGTCCGGCCGTGAGGAGAAATTTAGTATATACAATAGGATTCTGCTTTCCTTTTTGGATGAGAACATGCTGAGATGTTAGACTTAAAACTTAGCTGCAATGAACTAATTGCTAACTCTGTCAAGCCAGAGACCACAAAGCCACTGCCTACTGGAGCCAGGACACACAGAAGAAAAGGGTCAGACGTAACATACTAGGGAGTGGTGGGGACTAGGGCAAACTGGACCTCCCAGCCCAGCCTAAAGGGCGGGGTCTCCTCAGATCCAGTCTTCCAAGATCTTCTGCTGGTTCAAGGGAAGATGTACTGGATTTTCATGCAAAATCTCCCCTGTTTTGCAGCTGCCGAACAACTTTTCTGGGACACCAGACGCACAGCTTCTCTTACCTCCCATCCTTCCATCTCCAGGCCTCTCTGCCCATATATGTCATAGATGGCCCTGGTCTGGGGGTCACTGAGCACTGCAAATTAAAAATCAAACATGTTTACAGAGTACAGAATTCACGGTTCAGTTCTTCTGAGGACACTGACCACGGCATCACTAGGCAAGGCCATCTGCTATTCTCCCGGTCTCGCCGCGATCTTTTCCACAAGCCTCTTCATTCCCCAGTGTCTTTCCTTCTCGTTGCTTTTCTGCTCCAACCCAAGATATCTTTAAAGGTGGCTACAAATGAGGAAGGTGGGAGTTCCAAGAGTCTGAGCTGCTCTTAATTGTGTGGGACAGGTACAAGGCAAACACGGTACACTGGGAAGGAAGCTGCGTTGGACCTTGTGTCACTAAAGGACAGTTGCTTTTAAAAGAATGTGGCACATTTCTGCCCCACTGTATAAAAGTGCACGGGCTTGAAGGAGCTGATTTCAGTTTCGAAAGAGACTTAAATGTCAAATTAGGGACAGGCTCTCATACTAGAAAAATCTCATTTACTATTTACTCTATATCGAGTTTTACTAACGACAAAGACAGTTACATTTTTTGGAGCACCTCTCCTGTATTTACAAACAATTTAAAAAGACACATACACCTTCACCATGGTGCCAGCTGCCCCACTCAAAGTACATGAGCAAAAGATTTCTCAGCTGGGCTCGGTGGCTCAGCCTGTGATCCCGTGCTTTGGGAGGCTGAGGTGAGTAGAATGCCTGAGCCCGCAGGTTTGAGACCCACCTGGGCAACCTGGCGAGACCTCATCTTTACAATAAATCAAAAAATTAGACGGGCATGGTAGCGCGCACCTATAGTTCCAGCTACTTGGAAGGCTGAGGTGGAAGGATCTCCGGACCCCAGCAGGTCGAGGCTGTGGTGGCCAGGAGCGGCCACTGCACTCCAGTCTGGGCGACAGAGTGAGACTCCAACTCAAAACAAAAGAAAAAGATTTCTCAGTCAGGGTGAGAGATGCTCCCCTTCCTTTCAGTCTCCCAGCTGAACTTGAAGGGCAGCTGAGGTCAATGGCCATGATCTCCCGCTTCTCCTCTGCCGAGACCCTTGCATCTCTTCTCCCCTGGGAGTTCCCATATATTTTTAGGCCTGATTAACAAACTATGCAAATAATTATCTCCATATTCAAATCTAACGGGAAAGGAAGAAATGCTGACCACTGGGAAACATGGGAGCCAACTTCTTGTGTTCAGCTCTAGGATTTAACAAGAAATTAGTCATTCACTATTTGACTTTTGTCTCCCTTTAGGCTGGACACAGGCTAGGTTTGCTGCTGCAGCATTTTCACAAGCACTGGTAGGAGTTTTCTGTTAACTCTTCCTCAAATCTCCAGAACAACACAAGCAAGCTATGTGGATAATCTAGATAACAGTAAAATTAATGCAGCCATTTAGAAAACAATACGATCAAAGGAACAGGTTTCCACCACATACAAGGTCTAAATATCATGCACTAAAGTCTGATTTTTACTGGCCATTAAAATCTAACTTTTTGGTAAAACGATAAAGTAAAATATATTACAAGCTATTATGTGGGCACTGAGATGTTTTTATGATTTTTGTAAAGAAATGCATTATCTAATTTTTGGTCTGTTTAAGGGGTGAATCACCAAATGGTTCTGGAATAACTTATTTTACCTGATATATATCCTAACAGTGACTGCATATATTTTTAATTTTTAAAATGGTGGTATAGGGGAGGGGATGGGGAATAAATAAAAAATAAATACAACAGCATTAAGCACATTTACAATGTTGTATTATCATCATCACTATCTATTTTCAGAACTTTTTGCCATCCCAAACAGAAACTCTGTACCCATTAGTGGTTTTAATATTTTATGAATATATCACAACATTTTCCTTCTGATATGCATAAGATGCAAGTATAAAAATGCAAATTACTTGGTTCTTTTCCTATTTGCCTTCTTAACATTTTCTTTCTTTTGTTAGAACCATTCTTTAACTGAATGTTACAGAACCAATAAAATCACTTTAGGATGAAAAAAATGTCCTTGTATCTTCTAACAAAAAAGAGAAAAAAGAAAGCTTCCCTGTAACGATCAGCCTTTCACCTCTAAGAGTTCCCTTTAGAACAAAACTGGTAAGTGATTTAAAACTTGAGTATTCCCCTGCAATCGAGACTGTGGTCTGTTACTTCACCTGGATTCTCATTTTCTACTTACTGGACACGTATTGATTTTCAAAGCAAAAGACTACTCTTTCAAAGAACCCTGTCAGTAAAAAGTACTGAACTAACCACCTCTTTTATACACCTCGAAGGACTCTCTCTTCCTATCCTCTACAAATCAAGTCTCTTAAAAATCGAGTATCTGCTACCAGTGTTTCTAGGAAGCCAAGCTCTGACTGACCTTCATAAGCCTGGTGAACAAGGTTAAATAGTCGTTCCGCCTGGGACTTGAGCTCTGGGTCTCTGTGCTTGTCTGGGTGGTAAAGCATACACAGCCTCCGGTAGGCAGCTTTGAGCTCTTCAGAAGAGGCCTAAAGAAAGGAAAATTCAATCAGAGGACAATCCATGCTACTGAAACATTATCAGTATCAGTATCAGTATCAGCCTTGGAATGGAAACACGTTAGCCACATTCCCACGTGTTTGCTCGCGACATCCAGAATATAATGAAGTCAGGCTTTATTACCTCAATAAGGCTTTTTTCCACAGCTAATAAAGTGATCAATTATGTACATCAATAGTGACTGTGTTTTGCTGGGAAATACTACTATCAGATAGAATGAAAGCCTGTGTCTCTAGACTGGCTCAGTGTGCTCTGAGCTGAAACTAAGATGCCACAGAGACCCGCTAACTCTTTAACCTAAGGTATCAGAATTAAGTCATGCCAAGGCACTCTCAACAGAAAAGAGGCTCAGGAAGAGAAAAGTTATATACCATTAGACAGAAATGCTACCCATTTAATGACTTAATGATTATGAATCCTTGAAAAGCAAAGACTAATAAAAGTGTAAGGCCAGCCGGGCTCGGTGGCTCAGCCTGTAATCCTGCGCCTTTGGGAGGCTGAGGTGAGTGGATTGCCTGAGCCCGCGGGTTCGAGACCCGCCTGGGCAGTGAGACCTCATCTCTACAATAAATCAAAAAATCAGCCAGGCGTGGTAGCGT